TCTAGAGTCGTAGCAGTACTATCAGTGATTCTAGTTGATCTAGTGATTAAGGGTATGAGGAAGCAGGAATTCATACAGTTGAGGAAGATAACAGCAGTAGGGTGTTCAGGCTCGCAGAGGTCAATATTAAAGTCCCCTGCGATAATTAGATGGTTTTTGTTCAGTCTGTTATCTAGTATTAGATTTCTAAGGTTTGAATTGAATTCGGACACATCAGTGTTAGGAATTCTATAGACTGCTCCCACAGACAGGACAGACTCGGCACCCTTGACTCTGAAACTGGCGAAGATATACTCCCCACAGCAGTCTCTAGTTCTAATTATTTTTAAGCATGTTAGTTCTTGGTGGTAGTAAAGAGCAGTACCACCACCTCTCTGAATTTGACGACAGTTGTGAATTGCCGAGTAGTTAGGCATGTTAAAGAGTTGAGTAGTATCCTCTTTCAACCACGTTTCAGTGAGTATAATAAAAGAGAATTTGTTGTCAATAGTTTCAATCAAGGCACTAACATCATCGACGTGTTTACCTAGGGATCTAACATTCAAGTTGATTACAGAGATATTGTGATTATCTGTTAATACATTGTTTACATCATGTGCTGTAAAATATCTGCAATTTTGATCATTGAAGTGATGATTGTCATAGATAGTGGATAAGAGGTTTAGTTCTGGGTCTATACTTGTCTGCATAAAAAGGCTGTTTGCAGGAAAACAAGGCAAGAATGGCAAATTACAAAATAGAAAACAAAGAAAAAAGTAGAATAAAAATTCTAAAGTAATATAAACTTAATGGTAATTTTAAGTAAAAAAACTTAATGGGAACTGGGAATGTAAAAAATGAACTAGAATAATTAATAACAATAGATGACCAAAAAAGTCAAAAAGCAATTATGAAATCTATAAAATGAAAAGCTTGCTTACTATACTATTATAAGTACATTATAGTTGAATACTGAAGTTACACAAAAACAAACTGAGGTAGTATAAATAGAGATACACTCAGGAACACTGGATAATGAAGTTAATACTAGAGGACACAGGCAAAGCCAGTGTACTATGGAACATGGGAGTAAAAAGAAAAAAGACAATAATAAAGATGACAATATTATTATTATTTTTTTTTAACTAAAGTTAAAACCTTTTGAAAGGAAAGGCAGAGCTAAAGTACACAAAGGTAGTTAAATGAGATTATAATTTGAATTCAGGCTATACAGCAGCTATCCCACAGTCACTGAGGAAAGAATTAAGGTGAGCTTCAGTGGTTATTGAATAGGTTTTTCCAGTGTCAGTCCTACTAGCTATAATTTTACCATCTCGCACAAAACAGTGTTTAATTGTAGGGGTATTTTTGCAGAAACCACGCAGTTTAAAAAAGAGATTTTGCCTGAACCTGGTCGGACATTCATTCACATAAACAGTGGATTTACTAGCGACTGCAGATGAGATAAGATCAGACTTGCGGGAGCAGCTATCTAGTTTTATATGTATTCTCCTGTTGTTAGTACCATTTGATTTGGTACCCACTCTATAAGCTGCTTTGATGTAATGTAAACTTTGATGTAATTTATCTTAATTTCACATGTTTCTCTTATTTAAATTGTTTATATTTTTCCCTAACTTCATTTCTCTTCTTTTGTTATTTATTCTGTTGTGATTTGCGATGATATGTTTAATATCTTGGGCTCAGAACTGTTGACAATTGTCAGATAATGAGAGGTCGGAGGCGCCTTTCTTCTCCTTGGCACACGCACATAATCCAACAAATATCCGATTGTTTAAAAAATGATTAACAATAAGATCTTTAAATATTTGGCATTATTCCACAAGAAATATTTAAAGAATTTAAATTTCCCATCATTGTGTTGTGTTTGGATACATTCTTAAATCTTTGCAGTGAAAAATATATTGGTAATTTACCGTTTATAACAATGATATCACACCATTGCAATCCTTCTCAGAGTGTGGAACGTTTGAGAAAAAAAATCCTGTGAATTTATTAAGGAAACTAATAGTACCCGGCCACGCGTTGCTGTGAGCCTGTGATGTGGCTCAGCAACGCATGTGCGTTGCTGAGCCACATCAACCTTCCCTGTCCCCCAGTCCTCCCCACCATTCCCCCTTCACCCGTCTTTTCGGCTTCAAAATCATTCCCCACTCCACCGTCCCCTCGTCCTCCCCACCATCCTCTCTTCCTTCCTATCATGCTCCACTTCCCTGTCCCTTTGTTCTCCCCCACCATTCTCCATTCCCTCATCCCCTTGTTCCCACAATCCCAAACTCCTCCGTCCCCTCGTCCTTCTTAACCATTCCCAACTCCACCATCCCCTCTTCCTTCCCACCATGCCCCACTTCCCTGTCCCTTTGTCCTCCCCACCCTTCTCCATTCCCCCATCTCCTCTACTCCACCATCCCAAACTCCTCCCCCCCCCCGTCCCCTTGTCCTTCCCCATCATTACCCCCTCCCTTGTCCCCTCGTCCTCCCCACCATCACTCACTTCCATCCCCTCGTATCCCCACCATTCCCCACTCCCTCGTCTGATGCCTTCCCAAATGGTCTGATGTTCCCATCAGAAAATTGGGAACATCAAGTGATCCGATGTTCCCATCACTGAAATATAAAAAAAACAGTTGAAAAATAAAATGAAAATATGAAAAATACAAAAAAATAAACTATACTCACGAAATGAACGGTATGGTAAACAACACAGCTCAATTCCAATGCAATTCACACAAAATAATTAAATCAAAATGAAAATAAATCAAAATCTATGAAAATTCAATTTATCAATGCAATCAGAAACGCTGAAATGGAATTGTAACATATTTAGTATAGCATGTGTATTGCTCTTACATGTAACAGATGGCGCTGTTTTTCAAGGAAAGCATAGTTTTACCTGTCACAGGTGTGGCATCTATACATATACTTATGAAATGAATGGTATGGTAAACAACACAGCTCAATTCCAACACAATGTCACACATAATAATTCAATAAAAAATATAATATATCGAAATCTATGAAAATAAAATATATCAATGCAATCGGAAACACTGAAATGGAATTCGTGACATTTTTAGTATACCGTGCATGTTGCTATTATGTGCAACAGATGGCGCTGTTTTTCAAAAACGTTTTTTTTTATCTGTCACAGGGGTGGCCTCGATATAGTAGGTATATGAAAAGACGTGCTTATTCCAATGCAACGTTGTATCAAAATTTCAAAGCAATGAATGAAGAACTTCTTGAGATTACAGCATGTGTTGCCCCTACGTCCAACAAATGGTGCTGTTTTTAAAAAAAAACATGTTTTTTCCCTGTCACAGGTGAGGCATGTATGTAGTAGATATATAAAATGACGCGCCTATTCGAATGCAACGTTGTGTCAAAATTTCAAAACAATCTTTAAAGAAGTTTCAAAGATTTCCTTCACATGGAAAAACACATGAAAAACACAGTTTTTCAGAAAAAAACATGTTTTTTATCCGTCACAGATGTAACATGTATGTAGTAAGTATATAAAAACCTGGCCGGATGCGAATGGAACGTTGTGTGAAATTTCAAAGCAATCGGTGACGAACTTTCGGAGATTAGCGATTTTGAACAAACGAACATTTCCATTTTTATTTATATAGATGATCGAGAACCGAGATTTATCAATAAAATATTTGTACAATAGTTTGGTTGTTGTGAGCTAGTTATTAGATACCTTAAGATATTAGTTAAGATATTAGTTACCACTTATTTTCGTGTGGTTGAAGGCATGCTATATTTACCAAAGGTGTCCCGTCCCTATCTTATTTTCTGACCTTTCCCAGGAAGCAACCCATAACAGCTGTCTAACTTCTGCCTACTTATTTACTGCTAATTAAATGGGAGCATCAGGTGGAAGAAAACGTAATTGATCTTAGTTCCTTTTAGTTATAATATATAATAATAAGGGGAATAATATACAAATCCAGAACTCCACTAGAGTGTAGCACCCTGCTGAATGTCAATTTATGATCTTTGGTCATCTCACATAAATATAAATAAAAGAGTATTTTTGAAATATAAATAAAAATAGTTTATTCATATGATGTTATTGAAAAGGATGTGATCATTATAGAGAACTTAGTAAAGAAAATGTATTAAATACATTTTCGGTTTGAAAGGAAACTGAGCTAAGAGTGTGGTAGCATCAGTGGAGAGTTATTGCTTCATTGCTTTCTTATTCTTCTATCCCCTCACATCACCATGAAGCTGTTGACATCACTCTGAAACGTAAAATCATTCGTAATTTTCACAAGTTATTTCCTGGACACCCAGCTCTAAGCACAAATATATAAAAAGTCGCTAATAAGACCCAAAAATGCATGAATATTCTTTTTAAAGACACACTCGGGAAGAAGTTGGTGATGGCTTGAGGTAGAAGAATCCAATATGTATACTTCAAAGAGGATTTGTGGGTTCTAATGAGAAAGCAAATTTACAAGGTGTATCTTGCAAAATAAAAAATCTCCAGGTGTCTAAACATGAGAACATTCTCATGTGTGGACCGAACATGTCATCACAGCCTTGGGCTTACTAGCCTGAACCTCAGTATAATGAATAATACTCCTTCAGGAATAATCATTTAATCATTATTACTCGATGTTTCGAGAGTCTTTCAATAAAACGAGATAGCACTTAAGTATTTTATTAAGAAGTCTAAGAATCTCTTAAAGTCAATTTTTTTTATAAGATTTTTAAATGTTTAAAATGCTGTAAGCAACCTCTTATTATTAAAAAGCCTTTAAAATGTCGCAGTCAGACTATATAATCAATTAAAAACTTTGTTAAAGGAGAAGTGTCAGATTGAGAAATATTTATCTGTCATTTTATATACATTTAGAGAAATGGTGTGATTGGCAAAATTATTGTAAATGTTTGTTACTAATGTTGTGTGTGTGTGTGTGTGTGTGTGTGTGTTTAGTTTCTTGAATAAAAATAGTGTAAGTCACTAATGTTGTTTATCTTTTCAGATCCTATTGTATGTGAAAAGGACAAATTCAGATGCTCTGATGGTTCCCGTTGCATATCTCTGCTGATGCGATGTGACTTTTACCCTCACTGCATCGATGGCTCCGACGAGGTTACTTGTGGTAAGTCCTTTCAATTATTGTAAGCAGTACTTTGTTAATTCTGCATTCAATGTTGCCTAATGTGAACTTCTTGTCAGGTTGGCTTATTTTAATAAATGTTAAAGTAATACATAACTACCACATATTTCAAGGAAAAGGTGATAAAAAAGTTTACTCGAAAATGTATAATTATCAAAAGGGCACAAAAGAGCAACTGATAAAACAAATTTGAGTAATGGTCTAGAGATAGGTACTAAAGTTTAGGTAAAGAAAGGATAAAGTAATGAAATTAGGCGAACGAAGTAGGAGGCTGAACACAAGGTATCATTTGGGAATTGAAATCCTGCAGGAGTCAAACAAAGAGAAAGATCTTGGGGTTGAAATCTTACAAAAACCTGTCCCCAGAGCCCCACATCAATAGGTTATCAACAGCAGTATATGCTAGAATAGCCAACCAAAGAAATGTTTTTACAAAATTGTGTAAGGAATCATTCAGAACCTTGAATACCACTAATGTCAGATCAATCCTGAAATATGCAGCTCCAGTCTGGAGCCCATACCTAATTAAATAGAGGACAAAGAGAAAATTCACAGGTATGCCACCAAACTAGTCCCAGAACTGAGAGGTATGTGTTACGATGAAAAGCTAAAGAAGCTGAACCACACATCACTGAAAGACAGAAAGGTAAGGGAAGACATGATCATCACCTACAAAATTCTCATTGGAATTGACACAGTGGAAAAAGACAAATTATTTAGCATTTGTGGAACATGAACAAAGGGACACAAGTGGAAACGTAGTACACAAATGGGCAACAGAGTCATTAGAATGTTTTATTTTTTTCAGTTCCAGAGTAGTTACCAAAGGGAATGCATTAATAAGCAGTGATGTGATGGTAACTCCATACAGAGTTTCAAATGTAGATTTGATAGATACGGTTAGGCGCAGGAATTTGTACACCACTTGACTGACAGTTGAGAGGTGGGACCAAAGAGCTGGAAAGTAAATCATTATTAACTAACGCAAGCACAACTAGGCGAGTTGAAAGGAAATATTTGAAAGAAAGTTTTCTAATACTATAAAAAAGAGTATGGGATTAATTGACTCCCTCAATATATGTACATATAAAAAAATAATTCTTAGAATTAAAAAAACAAAACTACTAAATTTTAGGAATAAAATAAAACGAAATAAACAGCGTTAAGTTCTTAGCAGACAATTGCTACAGAAGTGACATTTTCCTGTGAAGTCTGGAAATATTGTGTTGGTATAGCTCTGTGCTCCTGGGTGGACTGTCACGCTTGTGAAGTTTGTGTATTCGCCTAGTTTTGCTTGCGGAGGTTGAGCTCTGCTCTTTCGACCACCTCTCAACTGTCAATCAATCAACTGTTACTATTATTTTTTTCTACACGCACACACACACACTCACTCACACACACACACACACACACACACACACACACACACACACACACACACACACAAACACACACACACACACACACACGCACACACACGTCTCAAGGGTCGAGGGAGGTGGTCACGCCGCGCTCGCCAAGAAGGCGTCATATTTCGGGACATCAGAGGGATACACAGAAAATTCGGTGTTCAGTGATAATACAAAGTGCAACACACCAATTAAAAACTAAAAAATTTATGGATTGTGTTCAATAGTGAATATTAGACAAGTTCGGTGTACGACATAAGTGTCAGGACAAGCACGTGGGCCACTGCATGGTCAGAGTGTACACAACTAGATGTGATAGTGAAGATCATAACAAATAGTGAATAGGATAATGAAGAAGTGAGTCTAAGCGTGCAGCATTAGGACTATATTGGTGCTAAGAGGAACAAGAAGCAGAGTACTGGTGATAGATAGTAACAAGTTGGAGGGACCTACGCCTGGCAGCGGTGTAGATGGAGACAGCAGGCCTACACACCACTGTCAACAGTACTTTTAACACCTGTTTGTGCTGTGGGATGTTTTGAATTGGCGATAAGGTAAGGCCTTTCAAAAAGTCTGTCAAGCAATGTACAGTGTTATTGCTTTTTTAATAGTTAGTCTTGGATATAAGTTAACAAACAGAAACGAACCTCAAGGGAAATATTCGGCTCATATGGGAACTAGTTTCTGGCACCCAAGTGTGAAAAAAACACTACGCCCTACATTGGACAACTACCCCCTCTTCTCTCACCCCTACCCCCTCCCACCATAGCACCAACAGTACACACACAGCCTCCCAACCATAGGGCCCACACCCTCCCACTCTAATCCGCCCCACACACCCTCACCATCCCCTCCCTCTCTCCCATCTCCCTCCCATACACACACACACTCACCTCTCCCTCTCCCCTCCACCTTTCTCTCCTCTCCTCTCTTTCCCCCCTTTCTCTCTTTCTCTCTCTCTCATAGGGAAAACATGGCAGGGACACGAACTCGGGGTGACAAACGCAGGAGGACAATCACGGCTGGAACAAACTCAGAGGATGGGGTGGAACAGGAAGCCTGGATGAAGGGGGTATTCCAGCAAATGTGGGATGAATTCAGTGAAGGACTGAGGGTAATGAGGGAGGACAGTAGCCAACCTGCAGGATGAACTAGGGGCAGCAAAGGAGGAGATACGATACCTGAAGGAGACTCCTCCGCAATACCAGACACAAACCATACCTCAGGGAGATGGAAATGCTACTGTGGAGGGGACCTCCACAACACAGCTCTCATAAGATGAAATGCTTAAAAAGAGCCCTGAAGCTAGGTCTGTAGTTAGGAAAGTTGTCATGGAAGTGGCTTCCTCTCAGGAAGCAGCTAGATGTACTAGCCAGCTGATAGAGAGAGAAAAAGAGCAGTAGTAGTAGCAGGCATTAAATTACAAACAGGGACCAGCCCAAAGGAGCGAAGAGACAAGGACAAAAGCATAGTTACCGAGATCCTTAACCCTTTAACTGCGCAACGCGCCTGCAGGCCCAGGCTTAGGGTGCGTAACGCGCCCCCGGGTGTTTTTATTTTTCACGTTCCATTCAAAACTCCCGCGGCTACATGGGGTTCACATCAGCTTCCTCAGGGGTCTTGTAAACAAACGCCATCTTAAAAAAAATCATGGTCCACATTGCCGAGTGTCAGAGCCTCAGTAGTGAGTGAGCAACCAAGGCTGGCGCTCGCAGCATGAGCGCACAGCACTGCTGTTCAGCGTGTGACCACAGCATTGCCTAATATTGTCAAAATATATATATAATCTGTTTTATTTAGCCATGATAGTATTATAGAAGAGCCCGAGTGTGAAAATGACTGGGTACAATGTTCAAATATCAGTGATTGAATGCTGTTCACGATGTTCATAGCGCTAGCCACAGCACCACAGCATTATTTCGTCCATCTAGGAATCTACAAACGACTTTTTAGGTTCCTTTTCAAAATATACTTGTGGTCAATTCTTCATTTACAGGAATTAGTGACCAGGATTGTGGTTATAATGAGCGTTGTGCGTAGGAAGGAGAAATTTTGGTGAGGGAGGGAGGAAGGGAGAGAATTGAGGTAACCTCACTGTGGCAGTAACTCTTGTTTTGCTCACCATACTAGCTTCGTGGTTCGCTATGGAGAACACACATGTACATGAGTATATACAGTGTGTGTGAATAGTGTAATAACAACATCAGGAGTATGATATGAGGAGCTATTTTGGTGAGGGAGGTGTCGTCGTAATCGTGGCGTCGTCTGCTCTCTTCTGTGTGATTTGTTATGCAGTGTATGGTGGCCACTGTACTGTTTGGACACAATACCGGCTTACTTGCATAGTTCTGGTAAATAAAACATGTAGATAGGTATATATAACATGTGTAAATCGTGTAATAAATACAATAACAGTATGGTGGGAGGAGCAATGTTGGCGAGTAAGATGTTGGAGTGAGGGAGGGCTGGCTGGGTGTGGCTGCTCACACTCGCAGTGTTCTGAGTGTGTTGATGGTGAATGTATATAGTGTGTGACAGTGTATAGTGTGTAAATAGATTGTATATATACATAAATTAGCATGATACATGGTAAATATGTGCGACATATGTGTACACAAGTGTTATGCATGTAACACAGTGTCCTCGGACAGTACGAATGTTTTACTGCCATAATATAGTGTACGTGTTCATTATACATAGGATTAGCACATAAAAACAAATAAAATGTATTTGAAACTGTGCGCAAAAAATTAACAAAAATATATTCACGGCAACACCCTGGGCCGGTGGGGCACCCGCCCAGGGTGCCCCACCGGCCCCGGGAGCTTACTGCACGGGCGCACGGGGAATGATGACGTCACGTGCCAACTTACGGACCCCATAGCAGCCAAAGTAAGTACAAGTTCGAATTTTTTTTGACATACCCATACTGGGTGAAGGGTTTTTGACACTTTAAAAAAAAAAAAGAATTTTTTCAAGAGAATTTATTTCTTGCGCACTGGGGGAGTGTCATATTTATAGGCCGCTCAGTTAAAGGTTTAAGGAGGTAAGGATGGAGGGAATTGACCAAAATGTTGAAAAGGTTTTCAGGCTTGGAGAGTACAACAAGGACAGACACCGAATGATAAAGATGGTATTCATGAGCAAGATCACGAGAGAGGAACTGTTAGCAAGGAAGAGCAGTCAAGCAAATGTACAGCAGTTCAAAAAGGTATTCCTGCAGAGGGATATGACAAAGGAAGAGAGAAGGCAGGCAGCAGATGCGAGCAAGGAGCGCAGGGAGAGAGAAAGGGATCAGAGAACAACAACCCCAAACCCTACAATCCTAGAGGGGAGTGGGAAACCCTCCTCAAACAGTGCAACAGCCACTGGAATTGGGGCACCACACCACATTCTACCTAACAGACACCCTACCTGCCCCATCTCCTGTCAGCCCCCAACTAAGTACCCACCTAGGGCACCCACCCCCCTCCTCCCACTCACCTCCCTCCTCCCACTCACCCCTCTCCCCAGGACCTCCCTTCTCCCCCATCCCCCAAGCCCTCCCTTCTCCCACATGCCCTCCTGTCTCTC